ATGACTGCAAGAGCACAGCGCAGAATGCTGCATGAGGTAAAGAAGAATGCAACATCAACCTACTGACTATGTGACAGTGCTGCACTTTGTCATGGAGTCAGAAGCATTAGGTGTTACCCAGGGTTTTCATCTATGCAGGTTCAGAGGCTCCAGGACGTCAGGAAACGTTTTTTTTTTTTTTCAGTCATCTCCAGGACTGTTAGCTCCTGAACTGAGTTCTGGAGCCCAGAGGCTTTGTAGAGACTTGGGAGGGATGAAGCCTCTAACCCTGGGTCCCCTTTTTGCTAGACACCAGCATCCTGATTGCACAGGTGTGCACAGCCCTTTTAAGGTCTGCCAATGGTCTGGGGCTCCTTCCTGGGAAATAAGCTGCTGCACAAGCAGTGGGTGTGAACAGATACTAGGAGAGTAAGTGATGAGGAGAGGTGATCTGACCAGGCCATTGCCAGACAGAGGTATTAAGAGACTGTATGGATTTAGGCAAGAGCCTGTGGAGCCCAATTTGGGAATTTGTGTAGTTTCTTTCTCACAAGGCTGAATTAGATAATGTGGTGAGTCTGTGCGGTGAAAAGGTCAGGGATTACACAGTCCAAATAGCTACCCTAACCTTTTGTGTGAGTTTTCACATTTTTATTTTGAATACAAGTAGGGCAAAATCCCTGAAACGTACTTTGCTGGCTGGACTGAAGTTCATGAAAGGGACTACACTTGAGCTGAATCCTATAACACATATAACCAGAAGCTAAGAGATGGACGAGGTGAGAATCTTGTCTCATGTAAGTCTCTGGAGGTCTCAGTCTAATGCAATACAAATCCTTTCCACAACAAGGGAAGAATTAAGCATGCAACGTCTAAATGCAGGAGAATTTACTACTAATTTGGGAATAAATGCAGTAATCTCCTAGTCCGATCCCTACAGTACAACATTCATCCCGCTATATTGCCCATATAATAGATACTCAAACAAAATATTGTTTCAGATCCTACTATGAACAATCATACAATATATCCCCAATGTATTCCACTTTCCAGTCCCAACCTAACACACTCTAAAATTAAGCAGGGGTGTGGAAATTTTTGAAAAAACTGCTTGTCCAGGGACTAAATCGGGGCCCCAATCTACTTGTCCCTCATGACAATCTACTTGTCCTGATAGAAAAAAATGTTTTTTTTTTAATCAAAACTGTATTTAAATCGGAGGTGATTTTCGAAATGTCGGGGGCTTTTAAAAACAAAAGCGTCTTTATTGTGACTTAAACGTGTAATATTTTTAACATTGGGCTGTTCATCTCCTCCTGCCCTCCCTGCCTGTCTCCAGCACCGTACACAGGGACTAGCAGGGGGGAAGACCTTGCAGTGTAATGAGCACCGATTGGCTGCTCGTCAGGAAAGGGGGTCTGGGCTTATACTTTATCCCTTTCACTGCCAGAGTCGGTTTGTGTTTTCGCTGCCAATGTCATTTTTGCTTTTGTTTTTTTTTTTGCACACGTTTAAAACATTTTAGGCCTGAAGATTACATAAAACCCCCCCAAACATTATATATTTTCTGAAAGCAGAGACCCTAGAGAATAAAACAATGGTAGTTAAAATTTTTTATGTCACATGATTTTACCACAAAATTTTTGTAAAAAAATACAATTAGGTTAATTTTAGGGCACAAAAAAGCAATACATTGCCCTATTTTTTTGTAAAATATCAAAGATGAGGTTACAGCGAGTAAATAGATAACCAACTTGTCAAATCTTAAATTTTTGCGCACTCGTGTAATGGCGATGAACTTGAGTACCCTATATTTTCTATAGGTTAACACTTTTAAAGCTCCTTATAGGTCACTGGTATAGTGTACGGAGGAGGTCTGATGCTGGAATTATTGCTCTCATCCTGGAGTGTGTGGGTGATATGTGACATAAGTATCGCAATCGACGGTTCCATGCATAGGCTCCCAACGTGTGCTTTTATGTTTGTACATGCGTATATGTGGGGTGGGAGCCTCAATATTTTTTTTTTGGGGGGGAGGGAGGGTATGTGCTTGAGTATAACTTTCATTTTTTGCAATAAAAAAAAAACCAAACTTTATTTTTTTTCATCACCTAGTCCCCTATGTGATGATTTTTGGTGACAGGTTCTCTTTGAGACATCCAAGGTCTAAAAGACCCTGCATGTCACCTCTCTGCTCCACTGAACCATCTGCACCATATTACATTCTTTCCTGGGGATTGTATTGCAATCTCTCATCGGGGACCCAGAAGTCACATCGTAATGTCACTAACGGGTTAGCACAAGAAAGGGAGGGGAGCAGGCTTGTCCGCTCTTCTCCCTCCCCTCTAGCCGACGGCGAGCTGGGCCCGCAGATGGGCAAGTGGAGCCCGGGAAACCTCACGGGGGGGTTGCGTGTGAAAGCAATTGCCTGCAGCACTGCCACCAATTGCTTCACCTGACAGGTGAGCAGGGCTAAAGGAGGAAAAAAACTACCTGCCTGGTGCCCAGAACTACATGTCCTGGGTGTCGGGCGATAGGAATTCAACATCCCTGTTAAGGAATATTTACATTCATCTTGGATGCCCAAGCTATCATCAGAAGCCTTGCAAGTGTTGGAGGATCCAGTTGGAGGATGAGTTCTCCCATATGCTATCTGAAGTGTGGAAGGATCCAGTATTGGAGGATGATTTCTCCCATATGCTATCTGAAGTGTGGGAGGATCCAGTATTGGAGGATGAGTTTCTCCCATATGCTATCTGAAGTGTGGGAGGATCCAGTATTGGAGGATGAGTTCTCCCATATGCTATCTGAAGTGTGGGAGGATCCAGTATTGGAGGATGAGTTCTCCCATATGCTATCCTGTCTCTCCATTTCACAAGGCCTACAACTCAAACTTCCCGATGAGCCATGTAGCCATTTGACACCTTAAACTCTGGCCATAACCATAACTGTTATATCTAAACCTCTTAAAGACCCAACAATTGTCCTAGTCATAGACTAAAATCCTTACTCCATCTAAGGCAATACACTATAAAGCCAAAGATTTGCAGACACCTGACCATAACACATTTATGAGACTGTTGAATGTCCTATTCAAGTTACGGTAATCTGGAATTTCTCCCTTCCTTCTTCAAGATCTATTCTTTTGGAGCACACTTGGCTCATAAAGTTATAGTCATTCTGGAACTGAAAAGGGCCTTTCCCATCTGTTTCTGTGGCTGAGTGCCTATTTAATCACCATGCTGAGATACAGGCACAAGCCCTTTTCTCACAACTCCCTGGGTTTCTGGTCATGCTGAAGTTTCTCTGAGTTCCCCCATTAGCATCTTAGCGAGGCCAAGCCTGATGAGGTAATGGATCTGTAGCCAGGTGATAGACCCTCCACTGTCAGAAATGATGTGCAGGTAGGCGGTTCAGAGCCTAATAGCATGTAGATTTTCCTGAAAGCCAAGTTACTGTGGAGAAGGATTGCTACTAGAGTTCTGTAGTTCCACTGGGGTCATACTTTGTCTTCAGACTTTGGATCCCTCCATCTGTTCACCTGTGTTAGCAGAGCTACCCTGAACTTCTCTTTAATGAAAGTTGTTATGAAGATAATCATAAGTTGTTGTGTTTTACGGAAGTATTCGTTTTCAGCCTCAATGACACTTGTGCTTCTGCTTATTTTCTGTATCCTCGGTCATTTTGTTAATTGCCCCCTAGGGGAGTCTTTTCAGGCAGACTGGGCTCACAGTCAAAAAGCTGGAGTTCACCTTAAAAGCAAGATCCACAAATGCCTTTAATGATGTATAAAAGTGTATGTAAAGCAAAGGTTTTTTTGTTTGTTTTTTTTAGTTTCAAATAGATTAAAGTAATAATAAAGGTTCTGGTTTAATTTTTTTGTTAAAAAAACAAACATGTTATAGTTACCTGCTCTGTGCAATGGTTTTGCACAGAGCAGTCCTGGTGCTCCTCTTCTTAGGTCCCTCCTCTTCTTAGGTGCTAATGGCTCCTCCCCCCTGCAGAGTGCCCCCGTAGCAAGCCGCTTGCTATGGGGGCACTTGTGCATGCTTGCTTCTGAGCCTCACTCTGAGTTTTCTGCCCCCCGCTCTCACTAGCTCTGATTGACTGCAGCAGGAGCTAATGGCTCCCACAGCTGTACCTGAGCTAATGAGGAAGGAGATAGTCAAGAGAGCCTGTATTTAGGGGGGCTGTTATGTATTTGGGGGGGGGGGGGCTGTGGAGGAAGTTGCAAGCAGTAGGCAGTAAGGTGAAAAAAAACCTTCTGCCTTCACAACCACTTTAAGGATATTCCCATCACTTTCTCTGCCCTAGAGAATGGTCACCAGGACAAATGGGATAAATCTTGGAGTATGACCACAAGAATTCCTCATAATACACTGACGTTGTAGCCTTCCAAGGAGGCAGGTGGAAGGCCCAGGATATTATTATTATACAGGATTTATATAGCGCCAACAGTTTGCTCAGCGCTTTACAATATAATGGGAGACAATACAGCAACAATACAGTTCAATACAAGAGGGATAGGAGGGCCTGATCCTTGGAGCTTACAATCTAAGAGGGAAGGGACACCTGTGCCTTGCAAAAGCAGGAATAAAGTAAAGTAAGTTTAGATTGGCCCAAATAATGTTTATTTATTATATTTAATATTATTTTTATTTATTATTTATTATGTTTATTTATTATATGAGTAGAACAAGTTTAAAATGCAGAAATTCAAGCATGTGTGTTTTTGGGTGTGTGTGTGTGGGGGGGGGGGTCAGCTTTCCTAAACATAGACACCCACATACCACATCATAAGCAGGCTTTCAATGTAGGATGAAGTCTGATATGTATTGTGTTAAATTTTTTTGCCAAATCTTACAACCATAAAATAAAACATAGGGGTTGATTTACTTAAGGCAAACAGACTGTGCACTTTGCAAGTCCAGTTTCACACCCCAGAGCTTAGTGAATGTGGTGAAGCTTCACTTTGTAAACACAATCAGGTGCAAGGAAAATTAAAAAACAGCATCTTAGCTTGCACATGATTGGATGATCCAGCATCCAAGAGAGCAGAGCTTCACTACATTCATCAAAGTGTTACTAAATCCACTATATCTGGTCTCACCGGACCCTGCATTCACTATCTCTGGTCTCCCCGGACCCTGCATTCACTATCTCTGGTCTCCCCGGACCCTGCATTCACTATCTCTGGTCTCGCCGGACCCTGCATTCACTATATCTGGTATCACCGGACCCTGCATTCACTATATCTGGTCTCCCAGGACCCTGCATTCACTATAACTGGTCTCCCTGGACCCTGCATTCACTATATCTGGTCTCCCAGGACCCTGCATTCACTATATCTGGTCTCCCAGGACCCTGCATTCACTATATCTGATCTCCCCGGACCCCGCATTCACTTTATCTGGTCTCTCCCCGGACCCTGTATTCACTATATCTGGTCTCCCAGGACCCTGCATTCACTCTATCTGGTCTCCCCGAACCCTGCATTCACTCTATCTGGTCTCCCAGGACCCTGCATTCACTATATCTGGTCTCCCAGCACCCTGTATTCACTATATTGGGTCTCCCAGGACCCTGCATTCACTATATCGGGTCTCCCAGGACCCTGCATTCACTATATCTGGTCTCCCAGGACCCTGCATTCACTATATCTGGTCTCCCAGGACCCTGCACTCACTATATCTGGTCTCCCCAGACCCTGCATTTACTATATCTGGTCTCCCAGGACCCTGCATTCACTATATCTGGTCTCCCAGGACCCTGCACTCATTATATCTGGTCTCCCCAGACCCTGCATTCACTATATCTGATCTCCCAGGACCCTGTATTCACTATATTGGGTCTCCCAGGACCCTGCATTCACTATATCTGGTCTCCCAGGACCCTGTATTCACAATATCTGGTCTCCCCAGACCCCGCATTCACTATATCTGGTCTCCCACAGAACACAGAACATGGATTTTTTTTAGTATATATAAACTGCTAAATACCTTTTCTCATCAGCAGTGTATAGCAGTCTTGTGACTTCTATCAGTGCCCAGCCAAGCACTGGTTACAACTTCTAGGAGGAATTTTCATTCTTTCCTGATTGTCCTATGAGGCTGCATAACCCCTGACTCTCTGTCTGAACAGTGCTGATTGGCCCTGTGCTGATCACATGCACACTCCCAAAGAAAAGAAAAACTCTCTAGCCGTACACACTAAACTGAGCATGTGCAGAATGCCTCCTAGAGCTCTGTACTATTAGCAGATGGATTGGGGACACTGGAAGAAGGGGAGGATCAGAGAAGACAGGATCAAACAGCCTTTTTACACAATGCAGAGAATTAACCCCTTAGGTTCCGCAATGAGTATAACAAGCATTCTTTACTGCATATACAGACTGATTTTACTGTTGTGGGTTTAGTAACACACTTTAAGCTCTTGGAAAAATGAGTGCAATTGCATTTGCAAAGTTCACAGTCTGTTTGTCTTTAGTAAAACCCCAATGGACAGCTGCTCTGTGCACTCTTCACCGGTTCTATCTGCTATCTGTGCATCCCTGTGGTTCTTCTAACAAAAGTGTTAATGTGAACCCTGAACTGTATTGTGTCACAGGGTGCGAACAGAGGATAGATAAGTCTTTCCTGCAGGAAATGTGTGTGACACCTGAATGCAGAGAGTGCAAGGGCGTGATTCCTTTCTATTGCACTTTGGATATAAACAAAAGCAGAGGCAGAACAGTACCTTTAAAGAGGAACACTTTGCTTTCACTGTCATATGCAAAAAAAAATGTCACGCGCCTTTGATTTCTCCTATTAGAGTATTAAAAGAATTTTTGACATGTTTAGCAGCAACCTAATGAATGAATAGGAAGCTTCCCCTCCTTTCTAGATGGAACTTTCCAGTTTCCTTGCATCGATTTCTCTAGTTCAGTCTGCAAACTGAACCAAAGAAAGCCAATAGATTCTTCCATCCACACTACAAAGCATGATGATGGAGGAATCTACACTGCCGATTATTGAATTTAGACAGCTAGTACCCGCTGCTGTCTGAATACCCCAACAGCAGCTGTATACGACTAGATGTCACCGTTCGTCTGAATATTTTCTACGCAGCTCCTTAGATTTTTAGTTGATATTAGTTGAGCCGAGTGGTGCTGACAGGACCACCCACGACTCGAATGTTTGGCAACTGGAAAACATTCAAGTGGTGTATGACTAGCTATACAGAACCAGTGTGTACCAAAAGAACAGCTCCTGCCTACCCAGAACTGAAGACCAAACCATTTTTTTTCTGACAAGCATAAATGTTTGTAATTAAAAAAAGTCATCCTATCCATTTTATTAGGATAAAAGGAAACAATAATGTACCTTTAATATTTAGTTACATAGTTAGTCTGGCTGAGAAAAGACAAAAGTCCATCCAGTTCAACCATTAAAAAAAAAATATTAAATTATGATCCTACACCCACAGTTGATCCAGAGGAGGGCAAAGCTAAAGTTTAATCTACTTATACATGCATTTTCTTTTTACTGCTTTCACCCCCAACAACATGGTCATTAAGTTTTTAAATCAAACCTGTTTTTAATGACATACTTTATTATAGACCTAGTGATGTCATCACTAGGTCCCTGTGCTAATCTATGCAATGCAGGCCAGTGGGAGAAGCCAGCAGGGTACTCTACATAGCTAGCGAAAAACATCACTGCAACCAGGTGTGTCAATCTTTCCCCCTGCCTTTAGTGACTTCTGTAGTTACATAGGAGGTGTCAGGAAGAGCCCCTGAATACAAGAGATTGTCACTCCTTGAGTCAACAATAGAGTTACTTTAAAAAAAAAATCCACCCAGAAAAGGTTATGTAACATGGATGGATTTGCATTTTTTTTTACCTGAAATATCTTTCCCATGCTAATTTTGTGCTCCTGCCAAGCTGTGTAGTTACAAGGTGATGATACAAGCACTAGGCTGGGGAGGGATTCAGGAAAACATGCTCCGCCCACGCAGTACCACATACTCTCTAAATGAGACATTTCTATGGATGGCAAATTGGTGAGGGGGAGGGGGTGTCTATACTGATCAAATGCAGAGAAGCTTCTGCACCTAGTGGTCACTGACCTTCCAAGGAAGCTGTCAAGGTCCTACCTTTTCCCAGAGGTTATGTTACTCCATGTGCTGGCATCCATCTTGGATTTCTACAGAGCATGGTGGGAATCTTTTATGCCTTCAGGTCTCTGAGGTCCATCCCCCAGAGGGGTGTGGCTGATTACATATAAGCCTGTGGCTCGCACATGCTCTTTGCACTTGTGTCTTGTGTCTTTGTGTTGCTACAGCTCTGTTCTGACTCTCGTTACTCTCCTGGAATCTGACTCGGCTTGTGACTCGACCATTCTTTGTGTTCTCCTTTGATCTGACCTTCCGTTGCTGAACCCGGCCCGTGACCTGTGATTCTCGTCTGCTGTCCTGTACCGTTTTGTCTCGTTGTTGTCGACCCGGCCTGCCCGACTACTCTATTGTCCTTTCCACCAGCTACACGCCATTGGCGGCGGCCATTACCGCAGCTGGGGTGTCTCGGGGGCCGCGACCTGGTTCCTGGCTGTGTCTAGTCCATCCCCACCATCAGGGGCCCTGGTGAAGGGCAGCCTGGGACTTAGACTCCGCGCCCTGAGGGACTTCGGTCTGTGGGTGGTGGTTGTCGTCAGCCAGTGTGTTACATTGTTATTAGGCCTGCCTGTTCGTTCTTCAGCTCCTGCCCTGACAGAAGCACTACATAGTCTGTCAAAAGGGGAAACTGCTAGCGACTGCAAATAAAAAGCCTTGCAAACCAAAGCTAATAAATACATTTTACAAAATGGGACATCAGATATAAAATTATAATTTTATTGGATTAGCTACAGATAAATCTTGACTGCAGTAGATTATGCAGATTAATATAAAGAGAAAATGTTATGATTTTTCTGTTTGCATTAGTAGTTTTCTTTAAAAAAGCTCTTTGAAAAATTAGGCACAATACATATTGCTGGAGAGCCATTCACATTGACTCTTCAATAAAGGAAATTCAAGAGAAAAAAATAGAAGCACATTTTTTTTTTCAAGCCATTCTTCCTCATATTCTTGTCAAACTCCCTTCAACAGTAGCAAAAAGAGACGTGATAATGATATACACATCGACAAAAGGAGAAGTTGAAGGGTAGAGGGAAAATTGACTGACAGTCTGCCTGCTGCAAAAACAAGACAAATGGACAAAAGAGCTCTTTAAACACAAAGGGTGAGTAGCTAAAGCTTTCTTTTCCCTTTCTTGGTAGGAGGACTGCTGGAGCGTAGCAGAATGGAATGCACAATAGCCAAAACAATCATCAGTTGCCAACACAGGCCAAATAAACTTTTAGTGCATTAGTCTGTGACTGACATTGAACACACACATTGGATGCAAGTATTTAAGTGCACCACTACAGGTGTTGAAAAGCGAGACGGCACAGAGTTGGACATCCCAATGAGTATTTTGAAGGCATGCTAAACCTAAATATTATATTTTTTAAAGAGAAAGTGTTACCTTGATGGTGCAAGGCAAAGGGACAGTGTCTCTGCAAAGGGCACTCCACGACTTATACTCACCTTACCAGTGCATGCTCGTCGCTCTACTAATTTCTCCTCTGAAGCTGACAAAAAGAATGAAGCATGTGAGCTCCTTCTCTGTAACAATAGTCAGATCTAGCAGCCAATTTCTAGGTCTGACCACTGTCCAATAACTGAGGTCACCAATCTCCTGAGTCGCCAATACCAGTAATTTTGGTGCCAGGTGCAGAAAAGGAAGAGGCGGCAAGGGAGACAGAATATCAACCAAAAATCCAGAAAAAACACAAATGTTATAAATTGAGTTGCAGTTCAGTGAGTAAAATAAGTATATGATCCCCAAGCAAAACTTGACTTAGTACTTGGTGGAGAAACCCTTGTTGACAAGCACAGAGGTAATACGTTTCTTGAAGTTGGTTACCAGGTTTGCACACATCTCAGGAGGGATTTTAGTCCACTCTTCTTTACAGATTTTCTCTAAATCCTTAAGGTTCAGCTCCCCCCATAAATTTTCTATACGATTAAGATCTGGAGACTGGCTAGGCCACTCCATGGCCTTAATGTGCTTCTTGAGCCACTACTTTGTTGCCTTGGCAGTTTGTTTTGGGTCATTATTATGCTGGAAGATGCATCCATGACCCATCTTCAGTGTTCTGGTTGAGGGAAGAAGGTTCTCATCCAAGATTTTACAAGACATGGCCCCATCCATTGGCCCCTCAATGCAGCAAATTAGGCATGTACCTTTAGCAGAGAAACAGCCTCAAAGCACAATGTTTCCACCACCGTGCTTGACTGTAGGGATGGTGTTCTTAGGGTCATAGTCAGCATTTTTCTTCCTCCAAAC